GTGTGGGTGATGATCGTGTTTTGGCGTTCCAGAGGTTCTAGGCCTCCCATATGGGGTCCATGGGGGTCGGAGGTCGCCGATGCGTCGCCGATGTGTTGCCGATGCGTTGCCGATGCATCGCCGATTCATCGCCGATGCATCGCCGATGCAGCGACGATGCAGCGACGATGCGGCGCGATCCTCCGACTCCATCTTCCCAGCCCCCATGTGGGAGGCCTCTAACCAGACAGGGCCCCCCATTCGAGGTATTCGAAGAGTTCCTCGCGCTTTCAACGCGCCTGAAAAGAAATTTAAGGCGAAACCAGGACGGATAAAACAGGGTGATAAAAAACAGAAAGTATCTGAGGTCCGGTGGCTCTGGCAGATGTCTTGGGCGTCGCGGCGGCATTTTCAGAACCATTTAGTTTCATTCCAGACCAGAACGCTCTCAGAGCGTTCTGGTCTGGAACGCTCTGGAACGGATTAGTCCTCGTCCTAGCCCCGTCCTGATGGCCTGCCAGCGGGTGCCCCATGATAATTTATGGCGCCGCGCCGTTTGTTCCGACGCGCGGCCTTGCGCTTAGGAGAGGGCGCCTCGGCCACTGGGGCGAACTCAACCCCGGACGTGATGAGTTTGCTGTGGGGTTTTCCGCGGTGCCAGCTTCGTTTACATGGGCGCGGGGCGCAGGGCTTGCCGCGGCTCTGCAATGGTGTCGGCTTTGTCCACTTGGTCGCGTCCAGAACAAGCGGCGTGGCGATGTGTTATCTCTTGATGGGCCCGCAGAGTTCTGGGACACCTCACGCAGCTCGGAATAGACGAAGGATGTGCCCTTCGCTTTCTTATAGCATGACTTTTGGCCTGTGTGCCAACTGCATCCGCACTTCGCAAACAAATAGCGGCGGCCAGTTTTTCTGCGCTCTCGGCGTCTGGAATCGTCAAAGTTCAACTCAGGATGAAGAGCTGGCCCCAGGGAAAGGGGCGAGACCTCCTGCAGGCTAGCGGGGGCTCGCAGGAGCAAAGGTTGTCCCCTCCGAGAGAAGGCACTCTTCTCTGGATCCACGGCTCCCTGGGCGGGCCGCGTGGTGGTCGCGGGCCCACCTGGGAGAGGGGCGGGGCAGCCCGCCGCCGCAGATGCGCAACCACCCAGGTGCGGTCGGTCACGACGATGGCATAAAGGACCACTTTGGGCTCAGGAGGGGCTCTGGCTTTCGAGCCGCTCCTCGGGTCTGGATCGTGGGGAGCTTGTCTGGAAACGATGTCCATGCGAGTTGCCCTGATCAGGGATATGGAGGATCATGCAGTGGAATAAAGGGCTGGGGAAGCCGCCGTATTCCAAGAGGGGGAGGTGGAGGAGGAGGAGGAGGGGGAGGGGGAGGAGGGAGGAGGGAGGAGGGAGGAGGAGGGGGAGGAGGAGGAGGAGGAGGAGGAGGAGGAGGAGGAGGAGGAGGAAGACTAGGCCGATGAGGAGGAGGGGGAAGAGGAGGAGGAAGAGGAGGAGGAGGCGGAGGAGGATTAAGAGGAGAAGGAGGAAGAGGAGCAGGAGGGCGAGCAGAACGGCCAGATGCCTCTTGGATATCTCTCGGAGTCTCTTCGGATGTCTCTTGTAAGTTTCGTGCAGTCCTATTGCGGCGTCGTGGGGGCCTCTTGACAGTCCCAGGGGTCTCGTGGATCGTTTTGGGTGTCTCGGGAGAGCCTCTTCGAGCCTCTGGGGAGTCTCTTCGGAGCCTTTTGGGGACTTCTTGGGGCCTCTTGGGGCCTCCTGGGTGCCACTTGGGCCCCTGTTGGGGTAGTCTTTGGGCACCCTTGGGAGCCTTTGAGGCCATCTTAGAACCATATTAGAGGAGATCGATGAAAGAAGGCCCCCCCCATGAGGTCAACATGGGCCCAACACCTTAGTACACTCAGTGATTGCTGCCTTCTCGCCGAGGCTCTCTTGGACGCTCTAACGACCCGTGGCCCCCCCCGTTCAGGTCCAAGGGAGGGGGTAGGGAGGGTCAAGACACCTCCTGCTCACAAGGCGCAAGCCGTCTCGCTCACTCCCACCCGCCCTCCAAACACATGCGTAGCATTCGAGCGTCCCTGTCAAAAGCCAATGCAAAATGGTCGCGGGGCGCCCGCGCATGCCTCAGATTTGGAAGCACAGTATGTTCGGCATTGTAGTTTGGTAGGGACTGTTGGCCTGTGCGCAGCAAGCAATGAGGGCGCCCTGCCGTCCCGGTCAAAAGCCTATGCAAAGTGGTCTCGGGGCGCCTGCGCACGCTCCATCTTTGACGGCAAAGTGCATGTTGTATTGTTCTGCCGCAGGGATGGCTGGCTTGCGCGCAGCAAGCAATATGCGCTCCCCCCCTCCGCCGTCCCTGTCAAACCCATGTAAATTGGTCGTGGGGCGCCCGCGCCCGCTACAGATTTGGGAGCTTTGGGGGAGGGGGTGCTTAGTCATAGGGAATAGGGATACGCATAAACCACTCACGCTTTAAAGTGCTGGTGGGATTATGTCTATGCCGTTGTATGTTCCTCGAGCCCTGTCGCCGGTTGCGGTCCGGGCTCGAGGGCCCCGGGGGCTAGGCGCAGGGGCAGGGCGGTCTGTGCGGTCGCCAGGCTTGCTTTTCGAGTGAGCCCGCGAGGCGGGACGTCGTCCCTATCCAAAGAAGTCTCCTCTTCCTCCTCCTCCTACTCTTCCTCCTCCTCCTCCTCCTCCTCCTCCTCCTCCTCCTCCTACCCCTGCTCCTCCTACCCCTCCTCCACCTCCATCCTTGTCTGCCCGGCAGCCTCGCTCTCCTCTTTTATAATCCTCCTCCTCCCCCTCCTCATCTCATCCTTCTCCTCTTCGCTCTTCTCCCCCTCCCCCGGAGCCCCAGGTGGACGAGGTGATCAACCAGGTCCCCGTGCCCGTCGTGCAGGACCGGGGGGCGCCAGCTGACCTCTCCACCGACCCTGCCCGGGCCCACCGCCGGCCAAAGGAGCGCTGCACCTGACCCAGGACGGACCCGGACCAGGATCGGATCGGTGAGGCGGTCGCTCGGCGGCGCGTCCCCTCCTGTCTCCTCCTGTCTCCTCCTCCTCCTGTCTCCTCCTCCTGTCTCCTCCTCCTCTCGGCGGCGCGCCCAGGGGGGAAGCAGAGCGGGTGGGTCTTCCCACGAGGCTCGGCAGGCCTCGGGCCTCCTGAGAAGTTTCCCGGAGCCTCCCCCGAAGACGCAGAAGACTGCAGGCGCGAGGGGGGGTCTGAGAAGCCCCGCCGCCTTCCGGGCAGGCTCCTTCTCGCCCCCCCCCCCCCCATGGCGCGCTGCCGAGCCTCAGCCGCGGGCCCGACGAGGAGGTCGTGCGCCACGTCCCCAAGATCCAGGTGCAGACCGTGGAGAAGATCGTCAGCGTGCCGCAGGCCCGGCCCCGAGGGCCGCCGCCCGCCTCAGAGTCGGAGATTGACAGAGCCCCCGTCCTGCCAAGTGGAGCCAGGAGGACCCCAAGGAGGGCCAAACGAAGCACACATCATTGATTTCCCATATGTCTTTGATATGTTTTTCGCGTTCTCGCGTTTTCGGTCTTCCGACGCTCCAAGACAGATCACCATGATTCGTCTGTTTGTTCTCGAGAGTGTGTCCTCCCAGACATGCAACGCCCTGAGCAACTCAGGACGATTTTTTCAATGTGTGTAGGTGGTGCTCTTGTAAGTTTCGGCCTCTGGGGGCCCTAATTGGGCCCAGGACCGTCAACGCAGCGACTCGGGACGAACAACACGGGCGACCAGGGACCGGGCATCGACAGAAACTCAGTACATCGCACGTCTGGGCTTGCGGCCGCAATTCGCAACGACCTGCGCCGCCAGGTGTGGCCCTGAGTCGTTTTCACAAAAGGGTGCTTTGTTGAAGGGGTCTCTGTCTGCCCACCCCGACAGAGACCGCCCGATTCCGTCAGGGCCGCCTCTTCGTCCTGAGCCGTCTCTGGACGACCCCAGAGCTCGAAACAGGCCTCCTGAGGGCCAGAAGGGCGAAAAGCTGGCCCACGAGCGGCGAACGTGTACGTAGCCACGCCCTCGCGGTCTGGACTCGGGGGCGCGATCCCGTGGAAGTGCCGCGCGGGGCGCCCGCGGAAAGATCGCCACGTGTCCATGGGGTCGCGGCCTTGGGACCCGGCCCGCGAGGCCATGGATGTGGATATGGATCCCGCCCACGAGTTGGCCGTTCACATATCTCCAGAGGTCTGGACCTCCTGCACGGGACTGATCGTTGAGCAGTTTTGTTTGCAGCCCTCGGGCCTGGCCTCCCGCCGCGCCGGGCCGAGTGGGGACGAGAGGCCACGTGCCGCCGCTGCCGCCGCCGCCGCCGCCGCCGCCGCCGCCGCCGCCGTCGTCGTCGTCGTCGTCGTCGTCGTCGTCGTCGTCGTCGTCGTCGTCGTCGCCAACGCCGCCGTCGTTGTCGTCGTCGTCCTCGTCGTCATCGGTCGTCGTCGTTGTCGTCGGTCGTCGGTCGTCGGTCGTCGCGTGCCGGCGCCTGCCGCCGTCAGAGAAGCTGGCCGCCGCGATGTCTGCGAGCCGCTGGTTCTGCGCAGCCTGTCGCGGCGGTGGCCTCGGCGGCACGCTATGCCCAGCGAGCGGGCAGCGCATAGCTCCGCTCTGCCTGGCGGGAGACTTCGAGAGGCTCGGGACACTTACATTCGGGGACCAGGGAGTGGTCAGCGTGTCGCGCCGAGGCGTGGTGAGCCAGAAGCGGCGGAGCGACACGCTGAGCCAAAGTTCCGGACCCCAATTTTTGTTCAGTCGCGGCGTTTGTCCCTTCGTTCGGCCCCTGAGTGAGGGGCTGGAAGCTCTGGTCCTTGCGTCCCCGTCGACGGGTGCAAGCTAAACTGCAGTGGCATCGTGCGGTCCGTGAAAATTGCCGCTCCCGAGTGTACGCTGTTATGGGAGGCACATTAGCAGGCTACCTACCCCAAATGGGTGCCTGTCTTGCGCCCCATATGCCAGGTGCAGGTCCAGGAGAGGGTGGTCGAGATCCCGCAAGTCCAGTGCGTTTACCTTCCTGCAGAG